GTCTCTCCGCCGCCTGCGGCACGGCCGCCGGCCCGGCCAGCGACGGACGACGGATCAGCTTTTGCCTGTCAGTCGTTGCCGTCACGTCGCAACACATTGTTAGTTGTGATTTAATAATATAATAAACACAAATATTAATCGACGTGTCATATATATATATTTTGTATTAACCTCGAATCCGTTCCTACACCTACAATTAGTTGCTCCCTCAAGTTACTAAGCAACATGACATATTTTTAATTTTATACTTTTAGATCGTTTCAATATTTACGATGTGAAATTCCAGTTTTATAATAAACATTCTTATTGGAATACCTGATATGATAACTATTATCAGATAGTAAATTTTACCAAACGTTTGTTTCCCGTGTAATAGTTATACGGTATACAGAAAATTACCTAAATATAAATAACATAACAATTTTTTTTGGAAGTTCACAAATAAATTATCTAGATATGTACTCATAGATAACTAGAATTCTATCTAGATAAAGATAAATATAACTTAGCTAAAATTTATCTAGATAAGATAAAAGATAAATAATTTTTATCTAGATATTTCCCAACACTGCTAGTGGTTATAAAGGCCACACAGTAAATACGGAAGTGCTATATTTACTAAACCTGATTTGGATATAATATCGACAGGGATCACAGACAAAAACAATATAGAAATTATGACAATAGACATAAAACAATGCACCATAACATCAATATATAAGCCCCCTAATGTATCATTTGAATTTGAAGAACCTGAGAACTACAGGGAAAGAAATATAAAAATTGTAATAGGAGATTTTAATAGCCATAATGTGATGTGGGGATACACAGAGAACAATGAAGATGGTGAAAATGTCGAAGATTGGGCAGAAAGGGACAATATGAGTTTAATACATGATGCTAAACTCCCACCATCATTTAACAGCGGTAGATGGCGGAAAGGATATAACCCCTAAATGTAACTAACAGATTAATTACGGGGTGTCTGAGACCAACACCAGTTCAGAAAGTACAAGTACTATGAGGTATAGCACTCCCTAATATAAGGCGAGAGGTGGCAGCAAGGGTAGAGAAAACAAAACAAGAATTAGACTTAAGACATCCTTTATATGGAGGTAAAACCATGGGGAGCCGGCTCAAATCAAGGAAAAATTTTTTGAAGACAATAATTAGCCTATCACAAACACTTGAAGCAACAAGAATAGACTTATGGAAGGAGGCAATGAAAGAGCGTAACTCACTGCTATGGAAGGATCCGAAGGAAAGCTTATCAACCGGAAGTCATCTACCATGGTCGGTATGGAAAACACTAAATAGATTACGAACCGAAACTGGAAGGACAGCGAGTAATATGAAAAAATGGGGATTGAAAAATGAAGGGAAATGCGAATGTGGTGGGGAACAGGATGCGGACCATCTGTTTGTAAGCCCACAATTACCGAATAAGTGTAGAAAGGAAGATTTTTTGACGCATAAAATTTCAGACAAAGCAATACAAATTGCGGCTTACTGGGGAGCGAAGGGAATATGAAGACCGATACGACAAGAAGAAGAAGTTCTTAGACTGTAGGTTAGACTGGGAAAATTAAAAATTAAGAAAAAAAAATTAAAGGTTACTCCATCTTCACCGTGAGCAGATGAAGTCATAGACGATCATAACCTTTAATTTTTTTTTTCTTAATATTTGATTTTCCTAGTCTCACCTACATGAAACTACCCTAACTTATCCCGGGATAGGCGAAGTGGGAAATATAGTCGTGTACGTGTGCGAGCGGTGGACAAATGTAATCTATAACATAAGAATCTAACCTGTCATAAACAACCTAATTCAATCCTTATGAACGATAATTATGCATATATGTAATGTTTGATCTTTATGTAGCTCGAATTAAACAAATCACGTGTGAACTATTAATTAATCATTTTAAATAAAGTAGTAGGATGAAATAGCCGATTCGAAAACACTGGTCCCTGGTACCTGGTCCTGGTCCCTGGTCCTAGTCCCCGAGCTTTGCCGAGCCCGCCGCCTTATCGTGTACGTGTGCGAGATATATATTACCGTCATCACTTATCATTTATCACTTATTATGATATCACCTATCAGCACAGCTGATATATATCATAAACTAGATTGCTAACTATTGATAATACGTGAAGCGAAGTTCCGCCATTTTATCTGAGGCCAGAAGTATAATCAATTATTATCACAGTACTAAATAACGAATTATGACCACCTGTTCACTGTTATCCTGTCAAATGTCAACGTTTTTGGTTTTTCTACTCTTTTTTTGAAATTTATACTTTTTATCGTAGTAAAAATTAGTTTAATCGTAACTAAATAATTATGCCCTATAAATGTTGTGCGTATGGTTTTAATAATGTCGATGGAGTGGACAAAAATATTAAGTTATTTAGGTAAAATTATAAATATTTAATAAACGATTTATTTATCTATTATTTTACTTATTTTCTTTTAAAGATTTCCTTTGAATACTAATATCCTAACTATCAGAAATGCATTGAATTTAATTATTTTCCGCGGTTTGTGTGATTGAACTAGTATGCGCATTTTCATTGACATTATTAGTGACACATTTTGTTTCATTATCTGCTGATGATAATACGGTGGATTGGTCGGCGTTGTATAGTGGTAGAGGGGGCAAGTTAAATGAGTCGCCGTGACACGATTTCAAATTTCATGAAGTGGCCCGACAAAAGTCGCAAGGTTATTCTGCCACCAGGAGCGCGTCGTTCGATAGCAATTCTATACATTTTACAATTATAGCATGTAGTATAATAGGGATTATGTACGTTTTTCGACTTAAAATTGGTTTCAATAATAAAAACAAAATATATATTATAATAATTAGCTATTTAACACATGGGCAAGTCAGGATTAAGACATTTTGAGGCCCAGTGGCCAAAGTTGTTTCCGGTGGAGATATGATAAATACTCTTATGAATATTAAAGATATAACCAACAATAATGAATGAGCCCAAAGAATTAATCAAGAACTAGATGACATTTTAGACAAAGTAGTATATATATTTTATATAATTTTATTCAATTCATCTTATTTTTAGATCAACATATTATTGCTACTAGTAATTCTCTAAGTGTTGGCTTTTATAACATACCTTCAACATCAAATAGTAACTAATAACTATTATTGTTCTGATATACTACAATCGTCTATGTATGAGGTACCTAAATTAAATAATAATTAAAATATTTAACTACTTAACCTTACAAACCTAATTATATTAAGAGTTTCTTATAATGAGAAAAAATTAACTAAGGTATGAATGTATTAAATATTTCTAATCTAAGATTTCTTTTTAGCCTTTACCACTTCAACCATCTTGTAGAAAACAACTTAAGTGGTCTCCGAAAAATGAAATTTTGTCAGAACTATTTCCATATCCCCAAAATGATGAAATAATATTAAATAAATATAAAATAGTTGCCCTCCACTAAAACAAAAAGAACCCAAAAATACTAAATAAATATTTAACTATCTGTTTTTACTTTTTTTATTGGTCTCCAATATCTGGCTTGTTTAATTCCTATGATGATTTTGTGAAAAATTACAAACATATAGTTTTACCTATTTTTAGTTTAAATATATAGTATGATAAATATTTTAAATAATTTTCGCACCTTTTTTTATTTGCAGTTTATATATTTTATAACCATTTAACAAATGATTAAAATTTAAAAGTTAGAACATCTTAAACATTATATTAAAAATACATAGTATATTAAGGAATAATATTATTCTTTATACTATGCACTAGATGTTAATGATGTGCGTTGTTACTTGTTACTTAGTATTACTAAGTAATAACATTAACAAATTAATTCGTCACCAGATAGCGTAGATTTCACTTAAAGGAGTAATGCGTAACATTGTCTGACCGGCTGATAAGGCTCTGTGTCCAGTCCTGTATATCTTAGTTCATGTATGGGACATGTTAAATTTCATGGAAGCTGATCTATCTTACTACTCGCAAATCTGAGGGAACGTAATATGATGGTTACACAGAACTATGGCAAGAAATCATGTTGCATTTTGGATAAATGAACTTGGAGCAGACGGTAGGTCTTCTCCTGTTCCGCGGGTCTAATTACACCGAATATGTGGATTGTGATATTGAAGGCGATGTCGGGATGATTTTGAGGGCCTAAAGTGTTGTAAGTACTAACATCAATATTTCATTTATATTATTTTTAAAACAAATAATTGGATAGGCGTACTTATCTGGATCATCATCCGAAATGGAGACCAGAGACGAGGTGGTGGCTCACATACAAGCTGAAGTTTTACTTCAACTTAAAATTGAATATAAATTATTGGCTCGGGACGAAGACGAAAGAAAATAATTTAATATTAAAGTTCAAAAGATAACCTTAGTATGAGGATTATCCGATGCTGTTTCATATGGTATACTAAACAAATTTTTTAACTCATAATATATTGTATATGTATATATTTTTAAAATTATTTTAACTGAGTTATGATGTCATATTTTGTGAAAGTAATTGTTGAAAATATAAAAATAATAATATATGATATTATCCACAATATTTTTTTTTTTTACACAAATTAAGTAGAGTTATACGATTTGGATACTATGTTGATTTTTAAAACTATAATATATTTTTTATTTTTTCATATTCAGACTAAAATACTATAATAACTATAAAACTAATAACTTTTATGATAAAAAAAAAAAGAAAAAAAGAAATGATAATTACAATGCATTAAAAATGAACTTTATTATAGAAATCAACAAACAATATAAAAACATATATACAGATATTTCACATATATAGAGATATTTCACATATACACACATCGAGGTATCTCCTATCATTAAAAGATACAAATTAATTGATTTTTGATGATCAAATAAATATTAAATTTGAAATTCGTACACGCGTATGAACTTCTTGATAAAAATCCAAGTTGTTCGGCTTCTATTCTTCTATTTAATCTTCATCATCCTAAAAAAAAAAAATCATAAATATTACAAAAAAAAAAAATTTTAAAAACATAAATTGTATCAACTTACTCTAAACTATAATGCCCATGAGCTAAGGTATGGATTGTGTCCTGTAGAATCACTGTCTTATCGTCAAAGTTATTGTAGGTTAATTTTTTCGATATTATAGTCTTGAGCTTATGTTTGAATGATCGGATAGAGACATTTTGAGTGTAAACGTCTAAATCATTGTCATCAAACAAACACTTCTTATGGTCTTCAAAAGTCAGATGATTTTTAACCACGTGGCCACGGATACCCTTGGACTTGATCTTCTTCTTGCCCTGAATAATGTAGGCGTATAACTTAGCTTGCAACGCACAAAACTCAGTCAAAATAGTCCCATCTGTCTCGTCGGAAAACAGTCCTGGTATTAGCTCAGCCATACAAGTTATTACCTAAACATTCAAATATATTATTTACTCGAATAACGTAAATTATAAAATATACTTACAATCCAGGTAAACAAGTCATGATTTGGGATTTGACGGGTCGTAATCTGGGGTATTTTCGTTGTTAGCTTTAGCGTAACGCATGATTGCTTGAGTTAAACCACCACGAATTCTTTTAAAAGAACAAAAATATTGAAACATAATTTATAAATAAGCAATTTCTTTATAATTACCCTTTTCAATCACCAACAACATGTCATAATCAGAGAGTAATTCAAGTTTCATAGACTTGTATTTAAACATACAATCAAAACTAAACCCTGGAACAGTATAGTAGAATGCTGGGTCCAGCTGGTATGTACTCAAACATAGATCACGATAATTTTCAAAAACGTCCGCCAGTAATAAAACATCTATCTTCAGGTATAAGTCTGAATATTCACCGAGTGTTTTACAATTAAAATGCTTCCATAGCTCCTTAGCATGATGATAATCTTCTTCTTTTATATGCTCCTCCGTTAGTGTACTATAGAAATCTTCTTTCTCTGGTAAATGCGTTTCTTTCAACTTTCCCCAACTGTCTGTATACTCATACGGGTACGCTCCCTTACGAGTGACGAGTGGAATGTCCTCGGATGAAAAATGCTTAGAGGTTTCTCTAAACTTCTCCAAGTCCTATGTTAATAAATTTGAAGCAAGTGATGACAAACTAGAGGCCACGAATCTGAGAGTGTCAATAAACCGGATTGTGAAGGTATTGTTAATATATTTTGAGAAGGAAATAAATTTCTCCTCGCAGTTAGGTATGAGAGTGATTGTTTGTGCGTCATATCCCAGCTCAGTCATGATGAAATGAGCGTCGTAATTGCTCAAGTTATGAAAAGAACATTGAATGAAATTCGGAGTTTGAAGCTTTAGAGCTTTAGATTGCAATTATTATACAGCGATTAACGAAAATGGCCGGATAAGTGACAGTGATCTGCCACTTTTCGGTTTTTTTTAGAAAATCTATTTTTACATAAATTGCAAGTTGTGCATGTAACATGTGCTCGACGTTGTTCAGAAGACCATATTATAGGTGTGGATGTTTCAAGTAATTTATCTATTTTTTCTGCAACTTCCACAATCCTACGAACAAAATGTTTTGCAACATCCTTGTTGTTGACTGTCTGTATATGATACTTCTTCTCAAAGTACATGGTCTCCATTAAAGTCGCCTACGGCAGCGACAACAACGATCACGTCATGCTTGTCTCGGCCTACTTTAAATACAGTCTGCCGACGACTACTCACGTTGAGCAGCTTGAACATATTATTGAAAAAGAAAGAAGGATGGCTATCTGTGCTGACACTAATTGCCACTCAGAGCTATGGCACTCACAAAAACGCAACCGCCGAGGACGGATCGTAGATCAATTTATAGGAAAACATGGCCTTATTGTTAATAACTGCCCCGGCAGATTAAACACTTTTTGCCGGAGAGATGGACAAACATCTAATATAGATGTCACGATGTCCACAGCCAACACGGCCAGACTGGTTAAAGAGTGGACAGTTACGGACCTGACTGACAGTGATCACCGCGTCATTAGTTTCAGCCTGGCAGTGAAAAAGTCGGAACAGTGAGTCAAAACAGAGATAAGGTACGATGTTAGATCTGCCGACTGGGATCTCTTCAAGTCTACTCTACTCGGTGAAGTTGGCCGCATACCCGATAGTTGCAACAGTACGGACACCACTGCTGAAGACATCACCCGTGCGATTACCACGGCAGCTGATAGGTCTATCCCTAAAAGGAAACCAACCGATGTGACGGGCAGAAGTCCATGGTGGTCTCCAGTTCTGGCCACTCTGCGTCAGAACTTTGCCCGACAGAGGCGACCAGGTTTAATGAACACCGACAGGCCGGCCTACAACAAATTAAGAAATGAATTCCTGATGGAGATCAGGAATCATAAGAGTGCCGCATGGAAGCGCTTTGCGGGGGACCTCAATAAGAACCCGTGGGGGAAAGCCTTCTCATGGGCTAAAAGCGGCAACTCAAGCAATCCCATGCCCAGCTCGCTTTCTGGGGTAGATGATTTCCCAACCACAAACTGTCACGAAACGGCTGACCTGATTCTAAGCACGTTTGTTCCTCCGGACCCTCACGGGGAAACATTCAAGGTTCAGGGCCCAATAGACCATAAAGGCGAACTCAGCCCGGACACTATAAAAACTGCCATCTGGAAAATAAAAACGAACAGCGATCCCGGAAAAGATGGGATAACAGCAAGCATCCTCAGAAAAGCGTGGACGCCACTTAGGGATATCATCACAGACCTTTTTCAGAACCGCCTTCAGAACGGGACATTCCCGGGGTGTTGGAAGGCAGCGAGACTTATAATATTACCCAAACCCGGTAAGATAAACCTTGGTGAAATTAAGACCTACCGTCCTATTAGTCTCCTGCCTATCCTTGGGAAAGCAATCGAATCCGTTATAATAGGAGAATTGACGCGTGAGACGAACCTAGACTCGCACAGGGAGCAGCACAGCTTCACGGCAGGTAGATCCACCATCAGCGCGATCGAAAGCGTATACAACTGGATCGATGCGTCCAGTGCAAGACACATTTTTGGCATTTTCTTAGACATTACTGACGCATTTGGTAACGTGCAGTGGTCTCCACTTTTAAAGCAGCTCGACCATCTTGGTGCATCTATTGGCACCCAGAGAATTATAAACTCGTACCTGGAAAATAGAACCGCTGAGTTTGTCCTAGAGGGCACTCGATATTGCAAGACGCTTGAACAGGGATGTTCTCAAGGCTCTCAACTCGGGCCGACGCTTTGGAAGGTCGCAATGACCCCAATATTTGAAGCCATAAACGAGTCTCGCACGGTAAAGGTCATTGCCTATGCGGATGACATCCTACTCATGATTGGTGCAGCCAGGCCTCAAACTGCTTTCCGCCGGATTGAAAAAGAACTCGATACCCTCACTACATGGGCTGCGAAGTTCAAGCTCGAGTTCTCCGCTGCAAAAAGTCAGCTCTTGTCCTTGAAAGGCGGGCTCAAACCCGGGTACAGCGTTGGGTTCGGCTCTAGAGCGGATGCCCCCAGGATTTCGTCGACGGCCACAGCGATGTATCTTGGCGTACTTCTTGACCCAAGGCGGAGTTACTGGGATCATGTCGTCTCCATCTGCCAGAAGTCGAAGCCCATGTACAATCGACTCAGATCCATCTACTCTGCAAACTGAGGCATGGGCAGATTAGCTGCCAGGACTATATACAGAGGCGTGTTCCTGCCTAGGATCACCTATGCGACCGAAATTTGGTCTGAGGGCACCAAACTTATAAAAAGCCAAAAGAAGCTACTCTCCGCGCAAAGGGCTCCACTGTTGGCCATCACAAACGCGTACGAAACGTCGTCCACGAACTGCCTGGCAGCAGTGGCGGGCACACTACCCTTAGATTTGGAGGTACGATTCCAGGCCCTCAAACGGGCGCACTCTAGGCTCGCGATTACAGCGGAAGCCTTTGCAGACAGGACCGATGACCTAATGACGGAATGGCAGACCAGATATGAGTCATCTGAGAAGGGAAGCTGGACTCAAAAGATGATTCCATCGGTAAAGTTCAGGTGTAGCATATCGATGAATCTGGATCACTGGACCACTCAGTTTCTAACCAGCCACGGGGATTTCAGAGCCAAGCTACATAGCTTTACGCTGGCTCCTGACCCAATATGTGCATGCGACCGGATGCCTGAAACCGTCAAGCACGTTCTTATGTTTTGTCCTAGAACCAAGGTCGCTCGGCTGAAACTCAAACGCACCCTAAGACAAGAAGGCGTCGGATGGCCTCCAGAGGATGGAGCTTTTCTTAAAAGCAAGAAGACTTACCATCTTCGCAAAAGAGGCTTTAACGAACAGAACGGACCGATGAGGCATAAACGTCAGGGACGTGGAGTCGGCTCTGTTGCGGGGGCCAATCAGAATACCGCATCAGTAATCCCTGCTTGTCGTAAGAGGCGACTAAAAGGGTTGGCCAGATGTGGCTGGCGCCCATGGCGCGGATGCTCCGAAACCTCCGGGGACTAGGGCGTTGCGAGGTTCCGACCGCGACCTCGAGAAGAGCGGGTCGTTCACTGGACTTAGCCACCTGGTGTAGCCTCCGGGAGGCGTGGCAGGGCCTACCGTGAGCCCGTGGTACACGGCCCAAATCTCGGGATGATCATAAGCTGAGGCAAGTCGCCAACGAAGCTTCGTCCGAGCACCCCACCATGGATGTGCCTTACCTAACGGGAGACGAGAATGGTGCTTCGGGATGTGAGGGAGCCTCTCGGTGTTGAGAGATTAGCACCGAGCCCTCACAGGTCGGTCGCGGCGGATACCGTCTCGACTGACGGCGGAATGGTTTCGGAGTGGCAGTTTGCAGGAGCATACTATGTGGTAACAGATCACTCGCTTGGTCAGGGGAAGGTTGCCTAGTGACGGAGTCGTGCTGACTTGTACGGTGTTAGATATGTACAGTCTGAGCTATATGCAGCGAAGGTTGTCCGTGACCATAAACGGAATGCAAAGTGGATAGATTGCGGCCCCACTAAGCCAGTGAAAGGCGCCTGTGCGCCCTAGCTATATGGTACGGACTCGCCGGAGAATCCCTCCGTGCGGGTCTGGTGCTCGTAGTCCTTAGACGGCGTGCGTTCATCAGTACCCGGCGGTCCTCTGGCCATGCCTCGTGTGGGGAGAGCCCGTCAGTTGGCGGATGTATGCCTCTACGGCCCTTGACTAGCACCTCATGCTAACATTAGGTCCGTAGTTGTAGTCGGGCGACTTGCCACAAGGCCTGTCTGAAGACATAAACCCGGGAGCTTCGTGTCTGTATATGATTGTGATGCGTGCGCAGGTTTCGACGGAGGCCGCGCCGTTGTATTATAGCGGCGATACGAGAAGTAAAATAGTCGAGTGACGAGTGCGTTACGACAATGCGAGTATGCGACTGACTCGTACCGTTCGTCTTGATGATAATAATGATTATTATATTTTGCATAGTTTGTTTTTTGCGTTAAAATAAAATCGTTTTATACAGTCCACATAATATAAAAAAAATAGTTTTTATTTACGTCGTAAAACATATGGTCCATTCGACCGGATGAACTAGCGATTATGTGCGAAGTTTTAAACAACGAGCAAACCACGTGAGTACTTTCAACGTTTTGTGCGATAGACGTGCGTATTCATGTACGGGCCTCGAGTTAGCCCGATCGTATAACGAATTCGTCTTAGTATCACACGTCAAGACATGTTAAGTGACCATCACGTTAAAAGTAATTTCGAGTAACAGATTATCAAGACAGTCGTTCTCGTGTATATTTGTTATGCACGCTGTTTTCGTAAGCCATTCCTAGACGATAAAGCTCGCTAGCGAAATTCGCGTGCAAAGTCGTTCGAGTAGTATATTTTGAGTGTATCTCACCATTCGGATGTGTCTACGTCAAATCGTTAAGAGATATTACCAATACGACCGGGAGACGTGCTGCTTGAAAAAGAAACAACAGACAGCCTAGCTGCGCCATTTTGGTTTATTCAGAACGAGACATCGAGAGGCAAGACCAGGTAAGAGAGTCTCATATTCTTAATTTAATATTAATATCCAAAATTACGTGTCCCGAGATAATGCATGAGAGTAAGCGCAGGGTGTTAGGAGAGGGAAAGTAGAATTGTCATATCGGTAAACTGCGATGTGAGAGAGATAACATTGTCAGAGCGTACACATATGCAATATACCTCGACCCTATTACCTAAAATAAATTACGTAGAAAAACGATAATACCAATTACCAAGACGAGATTGTTGACTTTATCGAAGCGAAATGAAAACGTGCATACGGAATTAACTACATCGTATTATTAGAGTGATTTCAACACTACGTCGTACGTCGAGTAACACTGACACAGTGAGAACGAATAAATAGAATATGACTACCACATTGATAACGAGACGCGGACAGCTCAAAGGCGTATTAACAAGGTTCTGGAGCTACGTTTCCGCAGATGATAGTGACGTAGAACAAATCCTTGT